TTGTAGATAAAGGATGGAGAAAGAAATACAATGCGGCTTCAGCTCTAATTGCTTTTTAGTTGTGTAGGGGAAAGAAAGGAAGCTGGTTTCTGGAGAAGGCCGTTGTTTTTTGTCGGCCAGTTCCCATTCACTGAAACTTTTTTGTGATGCGGCTTGATGCTGGATCCCTCCCACCCATCAGCAACCCAGCTTCATACTAAATACATTGCTTTCTCCTCTCATCACTTTGTTTGCAGCCCAATCAAGATTTTTTTTGGTCGTTGGGCAGCTCGAAAACTAGGTTGTATTGATTGATACCTCTTCTTAGGTACCTTTCTGTATTTTTATAACTTTCTGAGAATGGTTTGCCGCTGCTGTTCGAATACATAATTTCCTTATGTTGCGACACAGGTGTTCATCATTTTACTGCAGGTATTCTCGCCTTGCGTTGGTAGCTTTGATTGTACTATTTAAACCAAATAATGATATTAACATCTACGATTGCTTTCATAATGGTTTCAAATGATCAAGTTTGGCTTTGGTTTTGAAGGAATGAAGAAGGTAGGTTGGTTACTTATAATAGGTTGTCTTAAAACCCATCAATAAACAAACTCGAAGAATCTGTTTCTAGACACTGTAGCTTTTGGGTCTGAACTTTACTTTCGTAGGGTCTGAAATTTGGGCTTTAGCATTTATTGGCTTCCATTACTGTATTTGGGTCATTTTCAGATGTGCAGTGCCCTTGATTCTGCTACTAAGTTGGTTGAATCAACCACAAAATCAAGATTTTTGCAGGAGAAGATTGTGGAGGAGCTTGAACATGTTTTTGAAAAGGGACATTCTACAAGAGCAGCCGCCATGGTCCACCCTATCCAATTGTAGCTCTCAAGTTGCTCAGAATGAAGGTCAGCTTAGGCTTTTTATGCATTACATTAAGGATATTCTCATATTTGAAGCATGGTGGAACTGTTCTTGTTTGAGCAATATTCATATTCACTCCTTTGATTCATTCACTTCTTTCTTATGCATTAGGGGTAGTTGAAATAAATAGACTAAGACTCTACTTTGAACCTTTAAAGTTTATTTCATTTCCGTCCTCAAACTTTTATAATATATGTTTTGGTTCTTTAACTTTAAATAACTATTTTGATCGTTATATTTTGCTCTATATTGCTCTATAGTTTACATCTACTAAAATGTTTATATGAAGATAATTTTAATCTATAGAATAGCATTTTTCATGGTACTTGTGAACCAATATAGTTGCACTGAGAATGTTTGCTTAATCCAACATTTTTAAATGTTGTGAAAATTATCTTATTTATAATCAAATATATTACCCGGACATGGAAAGAATAATAAATGAAAAAAACAATATATGAAAAGATACCTATACTAATATGGTAAATATCTAAATATTTGCTTATAATAAAATATCAAATATGATATATATGATATACTATAATTTAGTACTAAATTTGTAAAACCATCGTCATAAATAACAATAATTCTATAATATTTACAAGCGTCAGAAAAAAAAAAATTAATTATTGTTCTTTTTTTATCATGCGAAATAAAAAGAAAAACATAAGCTTCCATTTCAAGCAATAAGGATGAATGAAAACTTAGGAAAAGTGACAAGACATGCATTTCTTTTTTCCTTTAGTTTTCATTTTTTTGGAAATTATAAGGTAAATAAATTGTCGCATTCAAATTCTCACATGACTTTCCCCATTTTAATTAATTAATTAATTCTACATTTTCCAATTTTAATTTTCCACCCACCAGACCACTCCCACGTGAAAAAAAAGTGATTTTTTTTCTTTATATAAATTAACGTAACTTAATAATAAATTTAACGTTAAAAATGTACTTTGTCCTTGATGCCTCTCCAATATTTTTAATTTTATATTTAAAAATACAGGACAGTATATTTTATTTTATTTTATTTTAGGGATTCTTCTGATAAATTATTTATAAATTTATTTATTTACCCTAATGAATATATTTCTATTTAAACAAATATTTGAAACTACAGGTATATATATATATATAGTAAGTTGAATGTGAGATTTTTAAATATAATTAATTTATGAAATGAAAGTGAAAGAAATCGGTGATACCAATAATGCCAGCTGTCCAGCTTCAACTAATCCTTATAAACTCGTAATCAAAGGGTGACGTATCTGATTAGGTAACCTAATTCATATCCACATATAAATTTATTCTATTTTGTTTTTATTTTTAAAAAATCAGAATTATGACGTGATTATTCTTAAAAATAGAAAATTAAATAAAATTGGGTATCATATATTAATGTTAATGAGTATTACTAAAAAATTATAAATATAAAAGATTTCGTAAAAGAAGTATTATTATTAAAATTATGTCTGATTAATTATATTGTAGTCATAATTGGTAGAAATAATATAACGAAAATTACCATATATTATTAAATAGGATAATCACAAACATATTATTTATTTATTTATTTATTGTGGATATTCTTGATTTGTGTGGAGATGGGCAGAGACGACAAGCTATTAAGACCAAACAAATATTTTATAATGAAAACATACACTGTCTGGAAGCCACGAACGACATTGCATGTCTCTTGAGCTTTGAATGTTATGGCTCTTTGCTTTCTTCCAATCTTTTCTTCATCAAAATTTATAATAAAATATTCAAACTAATTAACATAAATTACAAAGGTTCCGATTGGATTGTATTTTTTTTTTTTTTTTTTTTTTTTTGGTTTGC